TCAGCCAAGCGTTTTTGGCTGTCATAATCAATGTATGTTTCATATATACAAAGAGTATATCTTTTCTCATATCTTTACACATTGAGTGAGTGTGGATGTGCATGTATGTATGCAAGTTTGTGCCTGAGTGCAAGCATGTGAGTGTGCGTGTGTGTGTATGTGTGCGTGTGTGTGTGTGTGTGCGTGTGTATGTGTGTATATGTGGTATTTGTGTCATTCTATAACCCTTAATGTGTACTCAAATGTGACACACAGAACAAAGCTGCTCTCACAAGCTGACAACAAAATCAGAACAGAACATACCCAATGAGATACAAGATCCCGTCTTTCCTTGAACAGCTGCGAAATAAAAAAAATTTAAAACCATGAGAACTATTTCAACAATAAAAAAAGATTACCGGCATCATAACCAGAGACAAAAAAACAGTATTTTCAATTTTCAGTGAAAGTCATTGCTACTATTGTCAATATTTATGTATTTGTCTACAAAGTTGAGTTCATCACAGATGATATATATCCCTAGCTGCTCCACCTTCTCCTCATTACAACTGTTATCACAGAAATCCACTGTTGTGAATTTTTTTTTAAATCCTCAATATTACTCTCAGACAAAATTGTCCCTACTACTGTCAAACAAAACCATCAGAGCTATTCTCTTTTTAAAAATCCATCTACACAACTTTTTGGAAACACCATTACCATAACCCAGAAAATCATCACAACCATTCTCAGGAAACAAATCATCCAAAATTTCCTCAGATTTCATCAAACCACATTGTATTTCCTAGCACTTCATAGTTCAGTATATAATCAAATCATCTTTCTTACAAACTCGTTGGGCAGTATAGTACCACATCCACTTTTGTAACTGCTAAAAGGATAGTACAAAACTGAGCCGTCATATTTTCAAAGGAATACATCATATTTCCTTCCACTCCACTAGACAGTATAGTACTAAATCATCTTTCATAGCTGCTCATGGGATAGTATAGTACTGTATTATATCATCCATTCCACCACCTCACTGGACAGTATAACTCCACAACATATTTCATTATTAATTTTAAAAATTAATTAATTAATTTAATTCCACCACCTCACTGGACAGTATAACTCCACAACATATTTCTTCACTGGTCATAGGATAGTATAGTATCACATCATGTTTTCTATTATCTCATTGAAAAATAAAGTGCACCACATCATATTTTCTCCAACCTGATTGGACAGTACAGTGCCACATCATATTTTCTAGCTGCTCTCCAGATAAAATATTGGATAAATTATTTCCCCATCGTACTTCCTACTACCTCACTGGATAGGATAGTCAAATGTAATGTTTCCTACTGTCTTATCAGATAGTATAGTACCACATCATATTTCCTACCTGCTCATTAGATGTTTTGTTCACCATAGGGGTCCAAGCACTTTTTTGCGTTTTCATTTTGAGCGTGTGAAACTTTTCGTCAGTGACTGTCTTGTCGCGGCGAAGTGAGGTGGGTCGGCCCAGGACTTTGGTGTCATCCTCCGTAATTGCCAATCTGGTTTGCAGTTTCATAGTCTTCTTTTTCTGAGAAGCAGCCATCTTGCTCGTCAGAGTTTGTCCCCTCTTTACTCTGACCTTACTTCCTTACCCTGAGGAAAAGATGAGTATCTCTTTGAACAAGGAAAAATTACCAAACTACCTTATAATTGAAGATGTTCTGAAAATAGATGCTTCTGTGCCATAAAATCACACAGAGTAGAGTATTAAAAGTGAAAAAACTGACAAAAATACAACACTAAGGCCACG